ATGGAGGTACTCTAGAGCCCTGGTGTCAGAGAAGCCATGTGGTGACCCCTGCCAGCGTTGAGATTTTTCCACCGCCACTGGATCCACAAGACTTTCTACCCACTGGCCTGTGATCTTCCTGCATTCGGCATCATTGTATATGTTGCATAAATCTATAGAGGAATTTATAGACTGGTATCAGACATATGGGCTAATATTGGACTTATGAACTTGAACTGGACTGGGCTGGTATGCCTTCTTAATGTACAGTTGCTCTTTGATATAAAGTTCTCTCTTATAAACATATGAGTATCTCTATGATTTTTTTTTCTCTAGTCTACCCAGACTAACACATACATGGAAATTTGGGACAATAAATAAGGATGACCACAGAAGAATTGATGCGTTTGAATTAACTTGATAGCAACTAACAGTCACAACTACACGTGTAGGGGAAAGCTGTATGACAAAAAAGTAATACCACAGAAGAATTGATGCGTTTGAATTATGGTGTTGACAAAGAATACTGAATATGACAGAGACTGCCAGAAGAATTTTCTCTTGAAAAATGATTAAAATTTGGGAAATTACATTACCTTTGTACCTAATAATATGAGGGGGTACCCCCCAGCAAACTGGACTTTTTTAAAAAGTTAAGTATTTAATTTATTTTACAAAACAACCTAATCACCTTAAAAGTATTCTCCATTACACTTGAAGCATTTGTCAAATCTTTGTTTCCATTCTTGGAAACATTTTTCAAACTCATCTGGTTGGATGGCTGACAGCATCTGCCTTGTTTTTTTCTTCATCTCTTCTATGTCATCAAATCGTTGTCCTTTCATGTCCATCTGCATTTGCTGAAGCAAGAAGATGTCTCTCGGAGCGAGGTCATATGAGTAAGGTGCGTGGGGCAGGAGAGGCATGCTGTGTTTTGTCCAAAACTGGCACACTGAGATGGCTGCATGAGCAGGTGCATTGGTGTGGTGGCAAAACCAGTCCCCTGTCTGCCACAAATCAGTCCTTTTTTGTAGCACACTGTTATGCTATCTTTTCAGAACCTCTGAATAGAAAGCTTGATTAACAGTCTGACCTAGCGGAACGAACTCCAAATGCACTATGAGTCGATATTTTCATCTGTTCGAGAAGTTGATGGACGTCCAGAATGAGGTTTGTCATTAATCAGCATTTCACCTTTTTTGAAATGAGAAAACCACTCATATACTTGAGTTTCTCCCATGTCCTTGTAAGCAGTGTTCAACATCACAACGGTTTCTGCAGCATTTTTTCCTGAGCAGGAAACAAAATTTCACAGCTGCACGCCATTCTCTTAAATCAGCCATCACAAAAAACGAGGTTCTAGTAAAACTGCTTTTACAAAAAAATTCACTTTGAACAGAGAACCTTCCCAAGAGATGCCATTGGGTGCACTAACTCAGATCAAGTCGCTCTGTGATTGTCTAGTGGGAAAAATGCACACTAGGAATGCTCCCCTCACCCAGCACAACTCCACTTTTTGGTTGTTGTTGTTTTTGGTACCCCCTCGTATAGTTAATATGCGGGTGTTTTTAAAAAAACTCCATTACATTTTAGTTTCCCCCTTTTCCCCACAGACTTTTGGAAGCATCCTTATATATTGAGCCCTCATTTGATATAATTGCAAAGTGCAACTATCTGCCTTATCAATTTCATTTTCATCCACTTCCCAAAGCACCGATACATTGCCAGTTCAACAGGATCTTCTAAAAGTTTGCACTAGAACATATATTTTTAAAATTTCATACATCTAAACTATTCCACTTTTCAGTGATTTTGAAGAAAGTTTTTATAGGCAATTTATTTATTTTGTTTTTGTTTTCTTTAAACAGTTTTATTGTCATATAATCCCCACATGGTACAATTAAGCAGTTCAATCATATTAAGAAGAGTTGTATAATTATCGCCACAACCAATTTTAGAACATTTTCTTTTTACTTGTTATACTAATTAGTACCCTCAGACTCTCCCTGTCCTAACCCTAAGAAACCATTAATCCAGTTATTGTCCCTAGATTTACCTATTCTGAAATTCATAAACAGAAAAACAAAAAATAAAATAAAACAAAAAACTAACAATAACAATGTAAAACAGAGATACACCTTAATCAAAATTAAGTAGAAACTATAAGAAATTATAACAACTTGAAAATGAGTCCAAAAGGAGATCATATGATAAGGTATTAAATTGTAGCTGGTCTACATCTGCCACAATCCATTTTGTAATGCATTTTGCACCATAGGAAGGCTATTCACATCCCTGGTCTGTAGACCGAGGGGATGCAGCTAAGGCTTAATCTGTGTGCATTTCTCCTTCACTTTCGTTGTTGTTAAATGAAACAACTTTTAAATGGGTCAAAGGAGATAAAATAAGATATTGCGTTTTAACCTAACTTGAAAGTAAAGTCAACGTTACAGTGCTCTTTGTCTGAGCACCTGGTTTGCAGGAGGCTGTGGAGGACAATAAAGCCAACACTCTAACCTCACTACCACGGAGTCGATGCCGATTCATAGCAGCCGCTTTGGGTTTCCAAGACAGTAACTGTCCACGGGAGTAGAAAGCCCAGTTTCTCTCCTGTGGAGCTGCTGATGGTTTGGAACCGCTGACCACGTGGGCTGCAGCCTATCTCGAGACCACTAGACCACCAGGGCTTGACAAGGCAAGCCCCAAATCCATTTGCAGGCTCCACAGAGAGAGGAAGCCTCCAGTGACTCCCCTCGGTCCCTGTATTTTTACCAGCTTTCATTTGTTTATGACAATATTTTAAATAGTTTACCGAACTTTTAGATTTTTGAACTTTAATATCATTTTATTAACATTTAAAGTGCATTTTCACAATTCTGATAATTACATGAAATTATTTTTTATTTGAGCTACACATACAAAAATTTTGAAAACTACCTAAAAAAAGAAAGATGCTCTTAGTGAGTTGATTCACAGCACAAATTTACCTTTTTTTTTACACTGGCCCATAGGGAATGGAAACTTAACTATGAGAATGAGGAGGGGCATGGCTTTATAGAATATGGTCGCTGACTTTTTAAATTATTATGTCATTATGCAGAGCTGTCCAGCTGGATCTGATTCACAGTGGCCTTCCGTGCAAGAGAGCGAAACGTCACCAGGGAGCAAAGGCTCCGTGTAGACTAGGACCTGGAGTCCACTAGTATGTCTCCTAATCACCGATGAGACATGTTTTTAGCTGTATTGTTCTTACTGGGAATTTGGAAGGCCACAGGGTCCCCTGGTGGCAGAGAAGGTGCCCTGGTGGCATAGTGGCTATGCATTGGGCTGCTAACTACAAGGGAAGCAGTTCAATACTTCCAGCCGCTCCTTGTGCTAAAGAGGTTTCCACTCCTATAAAGCGCTAAAGTCTCTGAAATTCATGGGGGAAGTTGTACCCAGTGCTATAGCGTTGCTAGGCATTGGCATCAACTCAGTGACAGTGTGTTGTACCCAGTGCTACAGGGTTGCTAGGCGTGGGCATCGACTCAATGACAGTGAGCCTGGGGTGTGTTTTCAATTAGTATTGCCAGCAGGAGCCAAGCTATCTCCAAATAAAACCCCTGGTCCTTAGGCGATCTGACGCTGTGTGTGGGAGCCCAAGTGGCACAGAGGGAGAAAGATGAGGCTTTCTGTTTCCATAAAGATCCACAGTCTAAGGGGTTTAGAGAGTCTGTTAAGGGTAGGAATCAACTCTATGAAAGTGAATTTTTGGTTTCATGGCCAAGAATTGAAGGGCACCGGTGCTAACCAAAAGGTCGGCATTCCTCGTCCCGCCCCCCCCCCCCCACCTCCTGTTATGAGTACTATCTGTGAGACAGAGAAAGAGATAAAGATGGGTCTAGCAAAGTGTGCCTGCTAGGGTTGAAGGGGAAGTACGGTTGAGGGATGTGGGTGAGCTTATGTTGGGGTTGGATGTGGGCAGGGAGGCTTCATTGATTTAACAGGAAAAGGGGTGAGGCATGAAGCTTTGGATGGTCTGAGAGGCTGAGGTTAAGAATAGTTATTTGACTTGTGGCCCAAGAAAAACGGTGTCCTTAGCTTGTTTGGCTGCCAAGTCTCTTCATTTTCACTCACTCACTTAACTATTTTATAAAACCCTTTATAGTCTAAGGACTATAACCTTAGAAGATGAAAGGCCTGGTGCTTGCCCTCCAGAAATTTATGGTGAGAAGTAGGCAATTGAAAAAAATAGACTCGCCTATTGCTTTCCGGAAGTGCTATATGGAGTAAACACATGCAAAGAATAAGACGGGAGATCAGGAGAAGTGCCTGGTAAAGCACGCTCCAGGCCACGTGAAGGAAAAGGCGCTGCAGAACAGCAGCCACCTGGGCCTTCCTTCGGCTGGCCATAATGAGGTTCACATAGATATTTCCTCATGCAATGAACAATGTACCAATATAGAAACCTATGGAAAAAAATCCATGCCTAACTCTGAAAACAGTTTATTTTGAAGGCAGAAAAAATTATCATGTAAGATACATAATGGTATCAATGTATTATTGTCGCCCATCCGAGGAACTGCAGCGAGAGCCAAAGATCAGGGAAATGTGTGGAATATTAACAGCACGCTGGGGTCAGGAAGGACTGGCCCTGGAAGGGCTGGATCAAGACAAACCAAATCTGAAGGCGGCACAGACGAGTGACTGTGGCTAAGTTAGAGACCACAGCGACATGCCAGCGAGGGAAAATCAAAGGCTAGGAGCCCAGTGGTCCTAGGCTAGAGGTTTATGAGCATGAACCTAACGTTGTTTCATGGCATTTAAGGAGTAGCCCTCTAAGCGGGCTTCAATGGCTGCTAGCCAATTGTTCTAGATCTCATTAGTTAGTTATTGCTGAAGGAATTTTAAGCCTCTATTACATTTCTTTCTCTCTTTTACACGATATAATTTTTAAGAAGTGGAAATTATGCAAGCGAACAAGGAACAGTGCAATCGAATTCCACTTCTTCCACGCCTGCTGCTAACCAGGAAGTACTCACGTTCCACAAAGTATGAGCTGGCATCGATCTTCCAGATGATCTGGCCCCGATGAGAACCATTGACTCCACGGTTCTTATAATCCAGAAAGTTTTCGGACAACACTTCATCTACATCCCCAAAGGAAGAAAGTAGAGGAGAAAAACTGATCAGTCGGCAGCAAATAGAAAATACGCATCTGGAGTAACAATGCCCCTTTAGTCTGAGACTCTTTGCCCCACAATCCCCTTGCAAGGGGCCCTACAGTGATCATCTTGAGCACCTCCAGAGACTGGGAAACGGCTACGTCTAAAGCCACTCATTTCACTTGGGAATGGATTTTCCAAACCGAAGAGCAAGCCTGTTCCCGTTGAGTCAATTTCAATTCACGACAACCCCATTTGCTACTGCTTCATAATCTTAATGGAAGATTGCCAGGACTTTCTTCTGCAGGACTGAAGGCTGGGTTTGAATGGCTAAATTCCAACCATTGGTGTCAGTTTTTACATATGTAAAATCTCAGGATTGAAAGCTTGCTCCTAAATTATCCACTAGCAGACCCTCTTAAGAACTGAAAGGAATTAAGTACTGGGCTGCTTCACTGCAACGTCTGTGGTTCAAGTCCCTCGCCTGCTCCTCAGAAGACAGATGTGAACATCTACTCCCATAAAGCTTTACAGTCTTGAAAGTTATATACAGGGTTGCTAGGAGTGGAAATAGACTCAGTGGCCAGTGAATTTGATTTTGGTTTTATTCAGAATTGAATATAAAGCATCAAGAAAAAATAAATCTGTCGCATTGAAATCTGAAAACAATTCTCATGGAGCTTACCCGAGATGGTCTCTTCTTCAGCCTGAACATTCTATTTCACTATCATCCTATGTATGTGACTCATTCATTTATCCCCGCTGCCTGCATGCACTCACGAATCCATTTGCTTAAAAGCATCCTTTTCTCCGCTAGATGCTTGGGGAAGATACAGGACATTATTTTGGTAAAATCCATATGGTCTCTTCTGAATTAGCTTACAAACTACTGGGGAGACAGATCTGATGCAGTAGACAAAAGAATGTACCTATCATTATAAATTGTGTTTGATTAGATAAAGGCAAAGAATAGATGCTCTGACAATTAATAAGGGAGAGAGGCCAACAGGGTGCCAGAAGGGATGAAAGGAAGCACATGGTGGGGAAAACCAGTGAGAGTAGAAGGTGGGTAGGGACTCAAACTTATTATTTAAGGGCCTCAAGGTCATAGAATTGGGTGAAGAGAGCTTTGTGGTTGATATGTGCTTCTCCGTCTCCTATTCTTTCAGCCCATCAGGGTCCTTCAAAGAGTTGATGCCTGGAACAGTCTCCATGGAGACCCGGTGGAAGCTCTCTTCTCCATCCCAGACACTGTCCTTGCAGTGCAGAGTCATGAATTGGAACTCCACAAGCAGTGCAAGAGTTTCCTGGGATTTCCATAGCAAACTATCATGAAGATAAGGATTTTATTGTCTTGTATTTCTGGATCCTGGAACTTGGAGATCAGTGTGCTCGCCCTGCTGATTCCCTCTGAGGTCTCTGTTTCATGTCTATCTTTTAGCTTCTGTAAGTGCCGGGTGTGACTTGGCTTGCAGCTGCGGACCAGCAGCCTTCTTTGTCTCCTGGTATTCCTGTCTTTCTCTTTTAGAAAACAACACGCAGGCTGGATTAAGGCTTGCCCTATTGGAGTCTGATGTCACGTTGCCCTCACCAATAACATCTTTAGAGACGCTATTTCCAAACGGTCCCGCTCACCGATAGAGGAGGTAGGACTTTGCCATCTCAATTCAGTCCATTACAGGAACACTGCAGTTTCCGCTTCACCAGAAGTACCCATCTGAACTGGATAAATCAGAAGCTGTGAGGAAGCTTAATGTTGAGCATCCAAATCCACCTCAGGGGCTAAGGGCTGACTGTTTCTACAGGATTCTGGGGGGCAGGTAGGCACAGCTCAGGTTGCTGTGAGGGGCGAGGTGATAGCTGTCCTTTGCCACCACTCAGATAGCTTAAGGTTTGCATCCTGAGTTGGGATGAACTGTAGCAACAAGAGGCGCTGAGGTGCCCAAAGAGCTGGGTTTCCAAGGTCTGTTTGTACCACTGACCAAGTGTGTCTCTCCTATCGCCTCTGATTTCTCATCTGCAACATTGGGACTCCACCGGCTCTGACCTCACAGGATAGGATTAAATGAGACCACTGGGAAATGTGCTGTGGCTGCTGTGTTGATTGTATGTTCCTGGTGGCTCTAACATTGGCGAGATGATTGGGTAAAGCGAGACCACCATTGCCTCATTAACAGTAAAAGTGGTTTGTATCAATTGGAAATTTACTTGTTTGCAAATTTTTCCTGTCTTTAAATTCACAGTGTGTGCACAAAGCACTGTTTGGGTTACTAAGATGATTGCATAATATGTCTTTTACAATAATTGCCTCATTTCTGCAGGAAAGTATACTATTTTTCTAGCTCTCTGGGTGTTGTGTACAGATATAAGCAGCTTCATGCCCAGAGAGAAATTTACCTTATTACAGCAATTCTCTAGGGGTGGTATTTACCTGAATGTATCCACTCCAGTAACCAGAATATTCCCTTTAATAGTCATGGTCAGGTGCTCATACACAATCGCTCGGGGAAACAGGCTGCTCATTCATGCACAGATAAATGTGTATTGAGCACTTTATTCCATTATACACATGGGGATAAACCCTCGGGATGTACTGGGGAATGAGACTTGCTGTATATGCCTAGGGAGTTCCTCACCTCCTTATTGTCCATTTGTCCCCTGATGCATGACAACTTCACACACAGTGGAATAAAACATGGCCTGATGCTGCACTAACCCAGTGATCACTTTGCAGATTGAACTGGACTGTTAGTATCCACGGGGGTAGGTAGTGTGGGGGTGGGGGTTCACTGGTTTTTCAGAAGTAGATGACTGGGCGCTTCTTCCTAGTGTGCTTTAGTCTGGAATAAGCACATGTGCCTGAACTATTTAAGAACGTGGCACCAGGATTTGGAGAAAGCCTCATTAACCACCTGTGATTGGCACTTGACACAACCTTGCTTGCTCAAACCCAATGAAGATAGAAGACAAGAACCTTCCATATGGATTACACCTTAATGTAAAAAGAAAAAAAATCCCATAACGGAACCAATAAACAACATCATTATTAATGGTACAAAGCTTGAAGCTGTCAAGGATTTCATTTTCTTGGATTTATAATCAATGCTCATGCAAGCAGGCATTAAGAAATCAAATAACATTGTAATGAGCAAATCTACTGCACAAGACCTTTGCAAAGTGACAACAAGCCAAATTATCACCAAGAGCCCCAAGATTCCCCTGATTCAAGCCAGGGGGTACACATACACGTGGAAAAGCTGGACAGTGGATAACGAAGGCCAAAAAGGAATTGGTACCTTGGATTATAGCATTGGAAAAGAATACTGAAAGTACCACGGACTGCCAGAAAATCAAAGAAAAATGGTCGTGAATGAACTATAGCCAGTAATGCTAGCAGGAGAGACCAGGCCCCCAAAATGGTATCATGTTTGGCAAAATAGAGGGTCAGCAAATACAAGGAAGGCTCAATGCAATGGACTGAGGTAGTAGCTGCAACAAAGGTTTCACACATAACACTGATTATGAAGATGGTACAAGAACATGGGCCGTGTATATGGGTGTCTTTTTGTTTTGGTTGTGTCTCGAGTGTAACACATTTTTGTTTTTGTACACACGTATACACACACACAGAGGGTGTGGGGGGAGAGTAACTCAGATACAGAGAAACAGTTAACTCTATTCATAGCAAGTGATACATAATCTTTTTGATCATGCAAGTAGATACAGGTCACAGAAGAAATAATCAATTTGTTATAAACTATAATGCATACAGGTTGAGCAGCCTAGAAGATATGGAAGGTTGCTTACATCCATAGGCACCAATATACGGTGGTGTTTCAAAGATGCTATTTTAGAGAATTAAAAGTTTTAATTTTACTATGATCTATTCCCTCTCTATGCTGTGCTTTTATTACATGAATGTATCTTGTTTTTATTATTTTAAAATTTATTACTGAGAGAATTCTAGTATGGTCTAGGAAGATCATGACACAGCATGGTATAGAAATACATATAACTTATTAAAATCTAAATTAATTAGAAAGTAAGTATTGTATCTTATTAACATCTTATGTCTACTTATTCAACTCTATTTTCATTTTTAGAGAAGCATCTGATGGGTTTGAACTGCCAACATTTGGGTTAGCAGTGAAGTGCTTAACCTTTGCACTACCAGAGCTCTTCTTTATATTTTCATAAATACAATGCCATACTTATTCTTAACTTAAGCTGTTTTAATAAGACCTGCTTCCAATTGAGTCAAAGAAATGGTTATTAAAACACAACAATAATAATCCTTAAGGGTGTTTTAAGTTATCCAATGATATTTTAATATTAAAATGTAAAGTTAACAAGTAAACTATCTGTATATTTTCTCGTTAGTTAAACATTCTGTTGGTTAGCAGTACAGTTATAGCTTTCAAATGATGTATCCTAACCCAATTATAAGACTCTGCTCCCTTAGTTTGAGTAAACCATGGACATTGCTGAATCATGACCCAGTTGCCATTGAGCGGATCCCAGTGGTTTTCCTGCACGTGTGCCAGTGTAGAGAATCACAGAGTTTACAATGGTAACTTTTTTTTTGGAAGTATATCGCCAGTGTTTTCTTCCAAGGTGACTCTTGGTGTACCTAAGCCTTGGACCGTTCAGTTGACAGACAAGCAGGTTAACCAGTTGCGCTACTCAGGACCACTAAATAACTAAATATTGTCAGACTCAAAGAGGCATTACTGAATTAATAATCATAAATCCCTTCATTGAGAATAGTGCTTTCTAAACAATCTGACTTTATGGACTTCGATTTGGACAAACCTGAAGTTTCTGTCCATGTACAAAATGCTTTCCTGTTCCCTGTTGGTTTGCTAAGAAGCTCTTCTGTATGATACCCATCGGACAAGAGAGTGCACATCTACGGAAACGGAATGAGGCCTGGAATCATCCGGTGTCCCCGTGAAAGTGAGCTACCTGACAAGGCAATGAGGACT